AGCATGTACAATAAGCAGTTGTGACTGAGATCAGGTATTTCAAACAGAAAGCTTCAATCCTATAATTGAGCCTCCAAATTAATTACTATTTAAAGACAAAGATATATATATATATTCAAAGAGTCTGACGAAAGTACAAACTCCAGGGGCTGGGAAGAGAAATTAGTTGATAAAGTCCCTGCTTTGCAAACATAAGAACCCAAGTTTAATTCACAGAAAACTAATAATAACAAGCAAGCAAACAAACAAAAAAGTCAGGAAGTGGTGTGTTTTTCTGATCCCAACACTGGAGGAAGTGGAGATATGCTGTTCTCTAGGGTTTAGTGGCCATTCAGCCTGCCCAGAGAATTCTAGACCATAGAGAGACTCAATCTTAAAATAAGAAAAAATAAGGTTTCTACCTCTAAATAGCCTGAGATGATTTGTGAAAATGGTTCACTACTCTCTTGACCTAAAAAACTCTACAAAATCATGCAAACTAAGAGGGTTAGATCTTTGTGTTCCCTTTAAGAGTATACTTGAAGCTGTCTAGTTCATCAAGAGTGTACACATCAGAAAAGATACTTAACTATCTGAAAGATGTCACTTTCAAGAAGTATTGTGTAAAAAAGAAAGAATATTGTGTGCCCTTATGGTAGTATAATGATGGACTAAGTAGGTGTGCCCAGGCCAAATAGTGGGGCTGGACATAGGACCTGTGCTCCAAAAAAATGCTGAATTGTTGTTGCATATATTTGTAATGCTGAACTTAAGGATTTAGACGAACAATCTGTAATTATTGAACACATACAGATGAACAAAATACCTAAGGTGGACTATTGAATACAAACTTCATGGTCTAATTAACCCATATATGAATGCACCCTGTCACACTGAGACAATCTTCACTAAGAAAGACCAAATTATTTTTAAGCCAGAAGAAGCTGCACAGAATAAAAAATATCCCTGAAGAAGCATAAACACTTGTGGTGTGGGAATAAATTCAGCATAAAATAAAGACAAATCAAAGTTTATTATAAAAAAAGACAGATGGCACCTGAGAAATGACATCCAAGGTTGTCCCCTGCATACAGAGAGAGAGAGAGAGAGAGAGAGAGAGAGAGAGAGAGAG